CCCTCCTCCGTATCTTCAGCCGACGCGTCAGCAACACACTTCTCGGTGTCACGCTTTGCGAACATTTTTGCCTCTGGTGTTCTCTGTCATCACCCCATCAGCCCCGCTCGTAAGCATGGCCTGCTCAGCGATCGTAGAGGACTTTATCAGTAGCCCCAGCGTTTTCACCACCGCAGGTGGGGTAGACGAGGAACCCGACTTCGAAGCGGCACTAGACGCATTCCTGGTCCTCGGAACACTCGTTTTGGAGCGCCTTGGCGGCCTTGCCATCAGAGCCATGCTTATGAAATGCATAGCTGAGCAAAAAGGAGCAAGTTACTATCACGAATAAAAGTGAACACCGCTCTAGAAAGACAACACACACGCTACTGAACATCTCCGAAGAGTTTAGTCAGAATAGCTCCCACACAGTCTGACCCCTGGGCCTCACATTAAACGGTGACTGCTCAGCATGTTTCAATGCATGATTTTTTTGGGACTCCAGTGTCCAAAGCTTCGCATCCCAATTCTCTTTCCTCCCATAGGCGAACCACGTCCTCAGCTCCTTGTCACCGGAATACCACTTAGTCGTAGGCTTCACATAAAAGAAGTCTTTAAACCAAACATGGTCCAACTTTGGGGATCTGGTCACAAACCCAAACGCCTTGTCCCGCCTCCCAAAAGACCATACGTTAGATCCGGCGAAGCCCATATATGAACCAGTAAGCGCATGCATGAAAAATAATTGTGGGCGATAAACGCCCTAGAGTACAGTTCAAACACAATAGGGTTTGGGTGATAAGAGGATCAAAGGGGAAGCGTAACCTCAGCTTCAGGTGCTCGGTATAAATTGTGATCCAACCCTTCAGACAGCTACCCGCTCCCGAGTTCGGAGATGGAGAAGCATATTTCCATTCTGTGGGGAGTTGATAATTTCGAAGGCGTGTAAGCACAGTAGCAGGCTTAAACTTGCTATACCTATCGGGGCCCCGGTCGAAAGCGCTAGCGGGAATATCGCCCCTTCCCCACATATGCGCATAAAAACGAACCGAGTACTCTTCTTCTTCTACCGCCCGGTAATCTGTTTCTGAAGTGTCTTCAGAAAGTTTGAGAGATGGAGAATCAAGCCGTTCAGCGGAGGCTGGCTCGTTAATACTAAGCCCCTCTTCAGTGCTAACGCTTGAAAATGAAATATCGTCAGAATTTGCCAAGTTATTCCCAGCGACGGATGTGTCTCCCCTAGCAGCCATAGGTTCTACGCCTAAACCCAAATTAACATTTTTCAATTCAAACGAACCGTCCCCATCCCTACCTAGCAAAAATCGGTCATCGTCCGACCAAGATCCGCAAAGTCCACGTCTACCCCACTCAGATCCCAGTCAATATCGGACATACTAAAGGGCGATAAAATATTCAGATTGAACATACCTTGAGCGGCATCGGTGATAGGGTCCGAAATCGTCTTAGACGAGTCTAGAACGATTGAAGAAGTGGAAGGGTTGACGGTGGCAGCTCTGCTTGGAACAATGGTGACTACGGAGGTTCCAGCAAAAGACCTCTTTCGGTCCGACTAAGACCCAGAACCAATGGAGGATGATAAAGTTGCATCGGAATTACCACAAGGCATCGTGAGATAGCGCCAGAGTTCGTAACGACCATAGTGGGCTATAATGAAAAGAAGATCATTATACGACGACGACGATTGATGAAGAAGAAGATAGATGAACGAGAGGAAAAACAGAGAAGCTACTTACCAATTCTGGAGTGTTCGATGACCTTTTAAAGGGAAGGAGGCGTCGTTTCGAAGAAGATATTCGAATAACCCTAAAAGGCTATATAGGTAGTAATGATGGCGTGAATTCAAAAAGTCTAACAACACAATTTCCTAAGACCAATGGAAAGGACGTACAGTCAGACACGCGATAGTTAGGCAAAACGAATCAACCCCGAGGCGTGATATCCCTAATTTGACGGCTGGAGGGAGAGGCTTGTATACCAGGTCCTAGGTTTCGGTAGTATTGCCGCCCAGACCTAGGATTCAGCCGCCGAAATCCGAAGGCTTTCCCCGCCTGCGGGATAATTTTTGGGCCAAGTGGGATAACTAAACAAACCTAGACCCATGGTAAAGGAACCGACCCAATAAACAGAGACAAGGCCCAGTAGAAATGATGTATACGGGAAGCGGGAACTGTCACCGGGAGCGGGAATAACAGTCGGGAGCGTGCATAGGGAAGATAAATTCGATAAGACAACAATAGTGCTAATCATGGCTACTCTGACAACATTAAATGTCGCCGAAGGCATAACCACGGGAAAGTACGCCTAGTACACGCTTAGCAGAGCATTAAATGCCCGTGCCAACTCCCATCAGCTAGAAATAGAGACTGACTACATCATTTAATGGTAACTGACCTACCCATTCTCTATCTACTTTCTCTCTCTAAAACACACCGACTTAATCATCAGAGAGTATCCAAGGCCCCGCCTCCAGATCCCTTCTGCGTAATCTCAACAAGAACGACCTCCATCTCGCCTGGTACTTTCCAGGCTTATACAGTAACCACACCGTTTGAACACCTCTACCAATAATAGAGGAGCATGTTTGTGCAAAATAATAATAGAATAACACATTTGTTAAACTTGCAATAGTAAAGGGTATACAATTATTAACCATTATAATAATTTTGTTTATATAATAAAGTGATATATTTTATTAGACTTGTGGTATATTTTATAAGACTTATGGGTTATTTTAATAAACTTTGTGGTACTCCACTCCTTCCCATCTAATTGCACAAGACACGTGAAATATCCCTTCCTTCAAATTTTCATAATACCAAACATGTCTCTCCTTCTTTTCATTAATTAATTAAAAAGTATCATAACGAAATGTTCATATTGATTGAAACTAGTGTTAGCACCATACTAAAAAAAGTTTTAACACTCTATTGTTAAACCTATAGGCGATAACAACACTATTTAATTTTGTAAATCTCATGTAACAATTTTTCTTAAACAATTCTTAATAGTAAAAAATGGGGTTAATTGCATGGTTGGTCACTGAGATTACAAAAAACGTTCATGTTTGTTCACTCGAAATATTTAAATCTATTGACGGTACTTCAGTTTACTGAAAACGTTCACATTTCGTCACTCTCTGTTAGTCGTCGTCCATCTCCGTTAATGGAGTCTGTTAGTGATAACGTAGCAGACAGAATTGCCTAATCAGCCCTATTTAACCCAAAAATAGTATGACCTAACCCACCATATCATCTAAACCAACCCAACTCTCCAACCATCCTTAAACTAAACTACCACACAAATTAAATTCCTAATTTCTCAAACAGATCTCCAGTTCTCCACCTTTCCCCTTCTCGATCGTGTTTGACCATCGCCACCACCACTATTCTCCTTCGGCCCACTACCAGCCTCCTGATCCGACTCCTTCATCAGCTGGAAAATTGCAGTCAGCTCCGCCATCCCCACACCCCCCAACCGCTCAATCGCGTCCAGGAACATCCTGTGCGGCCTCAGTCCCCACGCAAAACGCGTCGGGCTGGTAATGTTCTTGTTGTCGGCGATGAAATACGACGACAACCGAAATACTTTTTGAGTTGGAGAAACTTATTGGGAAAGGCTACGTACGGAATGAGAAAACTCTTTTGAGTTGCAACCTCTCTCTCGCAGTGTATATAACAGCCCCACACTATATGTGGAAGTTGCTACGCTCATCCATTTTGCAATCTCCTCACAGGTCTAAGTAATTGGTTTCTGGTGTTGCTGTTTGTGGTTGCAGTAGTAGTTAATTAGCTAGGATGATGATGGGGTTGGAGAAGCTGGTGGTGAGGTTGAAGTTGAGGTTGATGAAGGTAACGGACAGCTACAGCCTACAGGAAGAAGGCTTCTACTTTTGCGGCCGTCGGCGAGTAGCAGTATTATACGACAAGATGGAGAAGAGCGAGAGCTGGAGATCTGTTTTAGATATTAGGGATCTAATCTGGGTAGTTTAGTTTAAGGGTCGAATGTTGGGTTTGGTCTGGTTGAGTTGGTTTAGATGATATGGCGGATCTTAGTGAAATGGCGGGTCGAGTCGCACGATTTTTGGTTAAATAGGGCTGATTAGACAATTCTGTCTGCCACATCATCACTTAACGGACTCCACTAACGGAGATGAACGTCGACTAACGGAGAGTGACCAAATGTGAACAGTTTCAGTAAACTGAAGTATCACCATTGGATTTAAATATCACAAGTGACAAAACATGAACGTTTTTATAACCTCAGTTACCAACCATGTAATTAACCCGTAAAAAATAGACCATTTTATACACCAATTCTTTTAGGGGTCGTTTGGATGAGGAATTGTAACGGATCAATTTGACACAATTGTCTCGTTTTGAGACAATTGTACCAAATTGCCTCGTTTGTCAGCAAAATTTTTGGATGGGTCAATCTGTCTGAGGTATTTTGAATTGATCCGTTTTGAGTCAATTTCAATTACCTGGGGTGGGGCAGGTAATTTGAATTGACTCGTTTTAATTGCCTCGTTTATAAAACGAGACAATTGATCAAATTGACTCATTTCTAGATTGATCCATCCAAACGATTAGATATTTATTCCTGATTTAAATCTCTGAACTAGACTTGTCAGCCAGTCTTCGACTTCGACAGCTGGCAAATTAGACTGACGAGTCTCCCACTTTGAATACGGCAATCCCGGGCACTACCTTTTATTTATTTATTTTTCTTTTTGTAAATAAAAGTTAATTAATTAAATCAATTTTCCTCTTTCGCACAACTTGTTCCTTGTCGTTTTCCGCCGAAACCCACCCGGCAAATAAGACACGTGACGGGATAAGAATTGGGTCCCGAGCAGGGGTAATATCGTAAACCCCTCTCCGCATTCAATGGGTAGTTTCGGAATTCAAGATTTTAAAATCCACGCGCTTCTTCCTACCGTCTTCTCCTACGTGGACCCACGTGGAAGCTTAATCGCAGCCGTCCATCTTCTCCGCCAAACCCTAGCTCCTACGCTTCCGCCTTCATTTAAAAAATCCGCGCAACCCAGGGGAACCAATTTCCCCCTTTTCCCAAACCGATTGATTTAGAGAGAGAGAGATAGAGACGCCAAAGACTTCGAGAGTTCTCTCATCTTCGGTTTCCCGTTCTCTTTTCCCCCCTTTTTGGCTGGAGGATGGAGAGGTTTGGATCGGCGCCGGCGTTGTCGCCGTCGGAGGAGGCGATGTATGTGAGCTGGGAGGAGGTGAGCGCGACGAGCGATACAGGGAGGGCGGAGGTCCGATATTACCTCAGACGGAAGGACGGAGGTGCGGATCTGGCTGTCGTTGGCAAAGAGAAGAGCTTGAGGCATGTGTCTTACCGCTACGGCAATCGGATTCGGTCCCTATCCGATTCTATGGGCCCGCTGTTGAAGCTCAGAACCCGGCACGAGGTCATTGATTGGCTCAACTCGATTGTTTCAGGTTAGTAAATCATTAATTGGAGTAAAAGACCCCAACTTTGGTTTCAAATTGTCCACTTCTTTGTTCATTTTTAGTTTAGTTCCGGAGTTCTTAAGACGTCTGCTGAGATTTGTGAAATTTGTTGGTGTCTGGGATGTCCTGGTTTGTCTGGGAAAGTGGTTTCCTCGGTAGAGTTCTGGCTTTTGCTTTGCTTTTTTCTGCCAAAAGGTCTCTGCTTTGGCGGAGTGGTGGTCTGCCCATCAAACCTGTTAAGCAATCTCTTCGTATTCCTGGGTGTTGTTTGAAAATATAATCTTCTGGTAGTTGGCTCGAGGACAGGTCTGTACCAGCTGCATGTGCTAATTGAGAGGATTTTAGTTAATGGCAGAGTGTTATGCTTCTCCTTTTTGGGTTTGTTTCTCTAGTCAATGACCGAGTTCTGTTTTGATTTCCCTTGACAATCTTTTAAGGAAGTTCATCTTTTGTTCTCCTTCGATTCATGATTTCTTCTGTTCTCTGTGGGTTCCATGTCAATCAATAGCTTGCCCTCTAATCTATAATCGCACCTTCATGTAACTGTTATGTTATATTCATCCTTCTGAGTATACTGACTGTGATCTATAATTTGTGCTGCGGTATATATTTAGCGAAAATGAACCATTCAATAGTAATGAGCATCAGATATAGTTTTGGTGCCTCTTACTGCAAACTGACTGTGATCTGGGCTGCAGGGATGCTTATTCAATTTTAAAGAGCTGGTTGAAAGCATCGGATCCTCATGCCCTCAATTTCTAGGTTGTGATCTTTTTTTTTCCCCGTGAAAATTATTGTCATGATGTACTCGTGGTGTTGACTTGATCTGTTGTTGATTTTTTCCGCTCTGAGTCATCTAATGAATGTTCATGTTATTATCTGGCCTTTTCAGTCATTTGTGTGTGTTTGATTTTATACCTGACTCACTTGTATTATTGGTATTTAGTGTTGTTCCTGAATTTTCCCTGCATTTCTGTATATACCGTCTTCACTGTTTTCCTTGGTGATGGCCCTTACTGGTAATGCGCTTTGATTTACAGATTCATCGCATCAACAATCATCTGTGTTAGCTAAACCTCTTAGCAGCAGCTATGCCCGTTCATCTGATTTTTTGAACATCAAGGTATTATTCACTTTTACTGGACACATGTCGTAATATGGTTAATCCATGGAGTGCTCTTATAGAATTATAACCTTTTTTATTTTCTTTTTTCAGGATCCTCAATCTCTGAAAATCAGTCCTGTTACTAGAGCATTTTCGTGGTTGGGCTCCCCTTGGATGTGCAGGAGAAAAAGGAAGCACTTTCCATCTTTCCATAGAAACGGTGTAAAAATTTCTGTGAGTTACTAGATCTCTTGTTGATTGTTTGCGCTCAAGTATTTTTGCTCTGTTTTCTTATTGTGACTTGTAATAATATCTTTTTCAGGTTTTTGACTTTGTGTATGTTCTAGCTGAAGAAGGAAAAAGACTTGTTGCATATTTGGAAGATATGTATGAAGATTCAAAGGGAAGTAAGATGGTTGTGGTACGATGGTTTCACAAAATTGACGAGGTTGGTATTCCTCTGCCTCAGAATTACAATGACAGAGAGGTTTTCTTCTCTCTTTGTCTGCAAGATTTAAGTGTTGAATGCATAGACGGTTTGGCTGTCATCCTCAGTCCTCAGCACTTTCAGAAGTTCCAGAGTGTAGCAGCACATACTAGGATGGACCCTTTTATGTGTGACCATATGTTTGAAGATGATGAAGTAAAGCCCTTTAATGTCACTAGGGTGAAGGGCTACTGGAACCAAGAAATAGTGAGGCATATGTACCCTGTTTCTGGTTCAACAAAAGATCAGGCAGCTTTGCAGCAGTTTGATCGTGATGTTGAGATCAGGCCTAGAAAGAGGCATTGTCGATCCAGAGATAATGGTTTGCATTCACTTGATAAACTGGAAACAGTGAAGGATAATCACGACTTATGCAGCAGTTTGCCTGACAGGAAAGTAGTAGACTCCTGTCCTCCTCTTTGGGAGGAGAAACTGTTGCCTTGTTATCCCAGGCAGAGGCCAAGGCCAAGGCAAACCCTGCTGAACATCTGAAGGTTGGCCATGAAGTTGAAGTGCTTTCACAGGATAGTGGAATTCGAGGATGTTGGTTTAGGGCTAGAATAATTAAGAAGCACAAGGATAAAGTGAAAGTGAGGTATGCAGACATTCAAGATGCAGCTGATGAAGCTAAAAAGCTGGAGGTATGTATGCTGTATCATTATTGCCTCTTCAAACTGTCTTTGTTTCTTAAGAAAAAACTGTCTTTGTTTCTTAAGAAAGCAACTCTTTGTTAATTCAGGGATGAGATTGATTTTACAAGATAGTTATTAATTGTTACAGGAATGGATGCTGGCATCTCGAGTTGCTAGTCCTGATAAGTTGGGCATCCGGATAGCTGGAAGGAAAACCGTCCGTCCTGCCCCTGAGTTGGATGAAGAGTGCTTGTTTGATGTCAAACCTGGAGCTGCTGTCGATGTGTGGTGGCATGATGGCTGGTGGGAAGGAATCGTTGTTGAAATGGATTCTGAGCAGAAAATTCGTGTTCATTTTCCAGGTTTGTTCAAGTTGATTTTATGTTTGTTTATTGTGCAGTGGTTCTTGTCTTTAGTTTCTTATAAATTAAACTACTTCTTGCAGGAGAGAACAAGGAAGAAGTGTTGTTCGTTCGAACTTGAGACAGTCTCAAGAATGGTTGGAGAATGGTTGGATAAAACTCAAGGCAAGGCCTGAGAATGTGGATTCTATCCTATCTCAGTCATTAAGCAAGCCTAGGGTGAGCCAACCAGTTGCTAGTAAGATGGCCCGACCTATACTTTCTGATCCGAAGCATCATTCCATGAAAGTTGAAACCAACAGCAGTAGCAGATCAGGTTCTGAGCAGCAGCATTCCAGAAAAGTTGAAACTGACAGTAGCAAGTTAGGATTAGATTCCAGAAGTGATGATGATAGAAATGAAGAATCGAAGAAAGTGGTGTTGGATTTGTCGAAAGATGATTTGCTGACCAAACTCAGATGGAAATCCTCAAGGAAGAGAAGACGGCGGGTCCGGTGGTGGTGGAAACACCTGCTTCTGACCTCAAGGTCAACCAGAAGAACAACAGCAGCAAAATGAGTCTTCTAAACATCCCTGGACAGAATGCCAGACTTTTGATTTCAAATGCATTGAGCATTGACCATGACAACTGCAAGTACATGGGAGATTCAATGTTTGGATCCTCTACTGTACAGCCGTTAGCAAACTTAGTGATGTCCAGATGAACGACTCATGCCTTGTTTTCTTCCTGGGTTGTTGGAATTAGGAGTAGCAGCATCTTTTAACAAGACGCTGTCTGTGCATCTCACTTGATGCAGGCATATGCAGCTTGTTAACTTTCACTCATCAGTATTGCCTGGAGCAGAAGTAAATGTTTGTTAGCTTGCAACTAATCTTGTTGTGCTATTGGTACCCCGATAGCTATATAGGCTTTCTGCGGGAGTTTGTTCTTGCTCTGAGGAATAGAACATCAGTTTTTGGATGGGTTTCTAGTATCCAATTCCTGTAACATGTACATCAGCAACAATCTCCGGTTAATGAAAACCATAACAGGATCCTTGTTCGTTATGTTGCCTCATTCTGTCCTTTACTCTTTCTGTCATATGTTCTCGTTCCCAGTGTTTCCAGGAGCAATGTATCATAAATAGAAGGTTTAATGGGCTGTTAGGCAGCAGAGGGAAATCTTGATTCAAGATTCTTACACACAGGAACAGTAGGGTTCGGGGTCGTTGTCAGGCATAGCTCGTACAAAACTTGACTTGAACAAGCAAAGCCAACTGAAGAATCTTTGTCGGATTGTCTGAAACTTATGTTTTGTGGCCGGACCCTTCAGAGGTAAGAGGTTGTTGGGATATCATGTTAGTGGCCAGGTTTCAACTAAAACTAACCCAGTTTCCTGAAAACAATAATAACGCCACATTGTGGGTTAGTTTTATGTTATCCACATCGAAGGAAGTAGTTGCTCAACGATCATAATCCATATCTACCCCATTGATCACTCACTTTACCTTTTTCACTATTATCATACAAGCTGTATTACTGCTACAGTGATACTTCTAGCTTTGTTACAGGGCTTTCAGAAAGTTTAAGCCGGAGCCGAAGGTGGAAGCAGTGGAAGCTGTCTACCACCATTGGAATGCTTGGGATACGGGTGTTGGCTCTCTCTATATCATCGGCTTGGTCATTGTTACAGCTGGAGCCCAGCCCATTATATGAAAGAAAGAGCCTGGTTTCATAAGCAATCTAACGGGAGAAAAATTAATTATGGGGGAAGGAAGAAAGTGTCTGCACAAGAAATAGTGACATCTTTGTGGGGTCGACTCGGTAAGAAACTGCAATGGGGTATCTTCGTCAAACTAGGCAATAAAAAGGGCAGGGGAGTGTTGTGTGGGGACTCTCCACTACTTTAACAAAAGCTCGATCGATCAAGGAGCTCCTCTCCTTCCTTCTCTCATATCATCATCACCTCTCAAACTCTGCCAGTGGTGCAGACCATCATGTTTATTCTTTCCACTTTCTTCTTGTTCTTATAATCCTTTTTCTAAGTCCCCTGGAGGGCGAGAATGGCTCTTGTAGTTAGGCAGCACAAGGAAGAGAACTATGTGAAGAGCAAGAAGAAGAACAACAAGAGAAGCATGTCTGTTCCTGGGATCAGTAGCCTGGCTTCCATCGAGTCATTGTCCATGCCTCTTGTTTGTACTCTCTTTCCCTCTTCATCTCTTTTGCTGATTAACTTCTATATTAGTTCATCTGGTGCTCTATTCTGAATGACCCAGTAACGGATTTTTCATGCTGGTTGTGGTTCAAGGTCCAGGAGGTGGTGATATCAGCAGATATCAGTGTGCACAGTGTCAAAGGAGAGTAGCTGAAGCTATCTCCAGAAGAGTGGTGAGTTTGCTTTGCTGCTACTTCCAACTTCTCTCTCATCCATCTTTCCTTCCTTTTACACCGTTCTTCTGCTGTCTAATCGTACAATGTGCATCGAGAAGTTTTCAAGCTTCAAGAATTGGACCTGGGTTCTTGTACGGGTTGTGATAAAAGTGGGCTCTTATGGGAACTGTCACCTTTTTGCTTTTCCTTTTTATGGATTCTCTTTTCACAATCACATGTGGTGATGCCAAGGTCCCTTGCAATTAAGACTCTAATCCGGTTAACATGCTAATAGAGATTGCTTATATACAACATTTTTAGAAAAAAAACTCCAATAGTCCGATTCGTGTATTCAACAGTTAAGGATCGCGAATATAGTGTGCGATTCAATAGAGTTAATCTACCATTGATGTCTATCTATGAATCCAAAAGGGTATAGTCTAGTCATGACTCTTGATTATCAACATATTTAATTGGTGGGGAATGTTGTTGGGATTTGTTTTCATAAAGTTGCTGTTAGTGTGTGAGTGGCTAGGCTCTCACAAGAGTTCCTCCTCTATAGAGACTAGAGAGAGAGCAACGGCTAGATTCCCTCTACTGTGAATGAAGACGACTAGAAAAGTCTAAACAGAAAAGTGAAGGGAAAGGAAGACTCTTCTCAAAATGCCCAAAAGTCTTGGACCATTCATTTCCCCCATCTGCTAAATCTTTCGCTGGTTACTTGTACAGTTGTCATTTTGTTCTTGTATTCTGTCTCTTGCTCCTAGTTGGGGGGAGTTTGGAGGGAACATAAAAACTACTATGCACCTTTGTTTTTTCCTCTGGTTCTGATGTTATGGTGATGGCTTGTCAGGGACAGAGTCAGTAACAGTAAACCTGGTGGAGAAGCAGGTGACTCTCACTTGTACATACCCAGGACCAGGACCAGGAGGTGGTGGCAGAGTTGTTTACAGGAACCCTTTAAGCAGAATTGCCATTATCAGCAGGCGCATTTTGGGTTCTTCTTCTTCTTCTTCTTCTTCCAAGAGGTATTGAAGAAAAGGAGAGGGTATATTCATCTTGGAAACACATTCCCACCTCTGTAACCTTTCTGAGTAATGGAAGCAGCTAAAGTAGGAATGGGGGTACATATATAAATGCATTCTTGTAAAGCATCTTGGCCTAATCATGTATATCTGATCTTGTGTTAATTCAATGATGGCACATGCTTCTCCTTCCCAAAAACTAAGAAGAACAAACAAAGAAGAAAACAGGATACACAAATTTTTTTTTTAATACGTGATACTCTCCCCATTTAACATTTCAATCCATAAAATGATAAAAGACATTTTCGCTCTTAATTATCATCAGACCAACTAGTTAATGTTAGGATTCCGGGGACATAAATTTGGAGTAGAACGATAAGTTTCATGTGACATTTTTATGGTGGTTTGATGGAACAACCAAATCAAACCAGCTTCTTACCCAAGTTAAAAGTAAATTCTATGGGTAAATTGCAAGTTTGGTCACTGGAATTACTAAAAAGATTCATGTTTGATCACTAGAAATATCTAAATCCATTCGTGGTCACTAAAATTAGTTAAACGTTTCAAGTTTGGTCACTCTCCGTCCAACTCCGTTAAGTTTTGCTGATGTGGCAGTCAACTCTCATAGTTGACCGTTAAATACATGACGTGGCAATTAAAAAAATATTAAAAAATAAATTTTAATTATTTAAAATTTCCACATCATTCCCCACTATTAAAAAGTAAAAAAAAAAAGGGTTAATACCCTAGTTTGGCCCGAAGTTTAGCGTAGATGACAGTTCTGGCTTCAATTTTCAAATAAGACATTTATAGCCTACTTTTGAAATTATTGGACAAATTTGGCCCGAAACTTGTGTTGACTGTTAATATTAACGGTCAAACATTTATTCCGTCAATGACTCAGCATCTAGTGCTGAGGTGGCATCCACATCACTTATTAATTAAAAATAAAAAATAAAAAGTGACATGCAAGTTCTAATGTCAACCCGGGGTCTAGATCTACTGTCTACTCCGTGAATATCTATTATCTAGCCAACTAAGTCAAGTGATTGTTGATTTAAGTAAAAGCAGTAAGAAAGTAGGAAATGGTTCGGTTTTCTGAAGTCAAGGAAGAGTCACTCGGGAATGAGTCCCCCTAGCTCCTTAGTTAGGTCTCAATTGTAATTACCCTGGGTTGATTTATTGTTGATTAAACTGCGGAAGATCCGACAGTAGCTTGGAATCTCTTAAACTGACCAAGCCCTCTCAGTCCAACTACCCGGCAGGCGACTAACCTTCACCGGGATAGAAAGCTGAGGCTATGAACACAGAACTCCACTACTGGAATTGGATTCCAGTACAAAGCAGTAGATTGACTAACTCTCGTATAACCAATCTACTACTACCGAATGAAGAAGCTCTAATAACCTAGTCAGATTCTATCTATCTCAGGTTGAAGCAGAAATCAAGAAAAGCTGATCAGACTTCAATTAATTCAATGAATCATACATCATTCGATTATAATCAAACAGTATAACAATCCCAAGTCATTACAATCAAGATCCCTAACACATGGAACTAGGGTTCTTCATACCCAAGTGAGAGAAAGTTCTACTCCATAGAGAGAGAGAGAGAGGGGAAAACAGAATACAAAGCAGTCATACTCATAACAATGAGAAGAATCTGCTCTGGGATGATGATTTTCACTCCTATGATGATCTCCAAGCTCGATTTGATGAAACCCAGCTCCAAGATCGCTTCTAGGATGTGTTCTTCACACTTTCTCTCTCTACAGCTCTGTTTTTGCTACAAAAAGTCGATTCCCTCTCCGTTGACTCGAAATTGGGTTAAAACCCAGATTTTCCCGATCACACGGCCAGGCCACACAGCCGTGTGGCTTACCCAGCTGCCCGTGCGAGTGTCAAAACGCGGAGTTTCGATTAAGTGGACTTCAGGCTTCCTACACGGCCAGGGACACACGGCAGTGTGGAATTCCCAAGGTGCCCGTGTGAGTGCTCGGTAAATCCCACACGGCTACATGGGTTACTTACACGGCCGTGTGGGTTTTAGGAGTGCCCGTGTGGCATCCTCAGCTTCTAGCCACACGTACGATCTTCGTCCAATCGACCCCGAACTTGTTCCCAAACCTTCATTCACGTACTAGGACCTGAAATATCACAAACAAGAACAACCTAGCGTGAAATCGGCCTAAAACACGAGAATCAACATCTCAAACGGTGTAAGTGACTCGCTAAAACACAACTCCTAACAGTGGCCAAGTGTAACCAATGAAAGGGACTGCAGTATAGTGGCTCAAGTAATAAATATCGAATCCACGGGTCTCTAGAGTTACTATTACTCAGCTTCAGTTCATTATCTAGCAAACCAGATTAAGATGAAAGAACTAAAACTACTCTAGCAAACTACAGTTAAAGTTAATCTAATTACAGGTTGGGAACTCACTTAGGTATGATTCCCCCTAGCCACTAGCCAGATTAACGATTGATGATCTCTAACATGTTTCACTTTCATTCACAATGCGGAGAATCCTTAACTAGACCTTGAGTCTCGACTAAAGGAACAAGGCCCTCTTGAGTCAATTGCCTAGAGGGACGTATCCTTCTCTAGAACAACTGATCAAGGCGTTCTGAACTAGATTCCCTCTATCGAATGAGGTTCTCAATCGATACAAAGCAGTGAATCAACCCTCGACTAAAGCAATCGATCCACTACTATCAATCTATGGTGCTCTATTGACCTAATCAGGTATTCGCTCTCATAGGATCAAAGCAGAATCAATAATCTCGACTAAAGCAGAATTGAATCATGAAAACATGCATAGATTGAATATGAACTCAAGATTATCAAGTAAGAGTACTCATACAATCATCCAATCAAACAAACATAGCTAGGGTTCCTCAAAACCTAAGTGAAGGGAAGTTACTCCATAGAGAAGAGAGAGACTGCAGTAAGAATCTTATGATGATCAGTCTTCAAGTCCGGGCTTGTTCCTGAGCTTCCAATGTGAAGAAATCCTCCAATTCCACTCCAATAATGCCCTCAAATCGCCCCCTCTCTCTTTGGTTCGTCCCTTGGGTGTTTGGGATCCAAAACCCAGCTCTCCCCCTCTGTTTCGGCTGAAATCTGCTTAAAAAGGGCATCAGTGGCCAAAGCACGGTCGAGGGCACGGCCGTGCTTTGCCTCAGCCCGCCCGTGTTTTCAGCTCGAGTTGGCCAAACTCAAATCAGCTCTCGGCAGTAAAAACACGGTCACAGAACACGGCCGTGTTCTGAAGGCCTACTGCCCGTGTTTTCACTGCCGAGCCTGTTCAATGCTTCGTTTCTCCCTCGTCCGGACTCCGAATCAGTCGCCGTTTGATCCCAGACGCTCGTAGTCTCGTCCTCTTTCATTTCATAACAAGCTTGCATGATTCTTTGTTCATGAAGTGAGGTAGAAATCCATTCTTCTTCAGGTCATACCCGAGTTTCTTCTCCCGAATCGTCAATTGATCTCTGATTGACTTGAACTTGCGCCTATGCTTCACTTTATGTGCTAGGACCTGAAATATGACAAAGGAACACAACCTAGCGTAAAATAGGCCAAAGATGTGATAATTAAAGCTCAAACGATCAAGAAACAAGGGGAAAACATGTGCAAATATCGAGTCATCAAATCCCCCCACACTTAACCGTTTGCTTGTCCCCAAGCAAACCTAACTCAAACCAATGCACTCTCCAGACCTCTATAGCAACAACAACCCCGATCGTCGGTAGAGGATTTCCTAGATCATATAGCAGCTTACGAGGTCAACTGGTCTTCTAAGACGTTCCCTATCTCTCTCAATGCGAGTACTAGACTCAAGCCAGGATCATGAGAAAAGTAGAAGTAAGACAGTCAGTTCATGGATAAAGGGACTCACACCATTCACAACCAAGGACTCGTTGTACCGGGGTGCTCTTTCACTTCATTTCACCGTTGGAACCCCTTTTTCACTTTCATTTTACTTACTTTTTTTTCTTTTTATTCACTTAGCGGGGGTTCCAACTGCAGTCTTTTGCACGGTCGACCCTTATTAGTCGAGCAAGAGCAATTTCTGTACATCTGGCGCTCGCCAGAGTACTTCTTTTAACTCCTTTTCCTCAACTCGTGTGGAGGGTCAATGAAATTAAGGGGGGTCGGAAGCTCTATCCGTGCCCTTAAAAACACATCCTCGAGTAGGCAAACCGTTCAACGGGTGAAAATTTTACTTGTACTAGAGACAGCTTAGCTTCACCTTGTAGGAGTACCCCACTAAGGATCACTAAAATCTCTTCCAAAACCCGATTTTGTGCAATGAACGGTGCCACACACGTTGGGCTTACCCCATGTTTAAGATTTCAATGATTTCGACATGGAGGACCAACTGCTTCCCATTTTCATATGAGCACCCTGTTCGATACACGAGTCCAAACACAATCCACATAGAGTCACCATTACCACATGAATTCAACGGTCCTAGCTCCACTAATTCACAAAATCAACTGACACAGCAAAGAGCTAGATAGGAAAAATCTTATACTTCAACATCCTCCATAGTGCTACACTACCTCCCTAGGTTGCACATTACTATAGAGACTGTCAATTCAAAGCATACTGAGCAGGCAATTTGCAAGGAAACACGTACTTGGAGCCCTCAAATCGAAATTTGGACAGTGGACTAGGCTCCAAGCACACAAACAGCCAAACATTCACGCATACATAATCGAACATCCCCCCACACTTAAGCACGACATTGTCCTCAATGGAGGAAAGATAAGGAGGGTAGAACGAAGTTACCAGATCAAGGGTGAATGATGGTGGATGGGACAGGCGTGTATTCCAGGAGGAGAGAGTAATCAGAACACAAACACCACACAAAATCTCACAAAGGTTGAGTTATTGACTCTAAAATCAAAGAACAAAACTGACTCAACCGAAGAGTAATAGGAAAGAAATGCAAACCGATGGTTGGGTTGCCTCCCAACAAGCGCTTCTTTCACGTCGTGAGCCGGACGATGGCTCCTAAGTTTCGGTCCACCCCAAAACCTCCTTGAAGTTGAGGTTCTCGTCGATGAGGTGGAGTCTCAAGTCACGAGCATGTGGTGTGGCAGGTGATGAAGGCTCGTGCACTTGATGCAGATGAAGTCTCCACCCTCGAGACCTCTTCTTCTCTTCTCTCGTCTCATTGCCCCAAACCAGATATGACAGCATCGATTG